ACCTCTTAGAAAATATGTATCACTCTCCTAGGAGTGTTCTCATGAGGCTGATGGGTGGTGGCTAGGCCAGAAGGTCTTAGGTTAGTTCAGAACTGCCAGCTGGAGAGCAGAAAGATGGATGACTCGCATGTAGACAATCTTAGGCTTGTCCTCCTTTCCTCTGGGAGAAAACATGTAAACAGAGTCATTTTAGTGGAGTTTAATAATAAAATTTCCTAAAATTTTCTGTGCCCTAAATCTGGTTGCTGTTATATATTTTGCAGAATCGCAAAGTAATTGGTCACACATGGAATGGTACCTGCAGGGGATCAAGGCTTGCCTGCCTTGTTTGCCTTTGCACAACTTTTGATAAATCTCTGCTTGGTAGAGCCAAATGTTTATTTATAACACATGGGCTTCCACTGACTCAGTGTTACCACAAAGTGACTCTGTATCATTGCCAGAAATCAACTACATTAGCATCATAAAAAATAGATATGTATGTATTTGATTTAAAATTCATATAAATTCCAAAATTACTTTCACTTCTGCAAATTGTGCTAGCTTCTATGAAACTATCCCAGATTTATTTCTGACTGTATTGATGCTGACTACTTTGTATTCTTACTGTTTGGACATCTAAATTGTTATTTGGCGACTGTCAAGGGTGCATGGTAGGAAACAATTGAGCTCTTCCTAATGAACTTCCCCCTGGAGTGTTTGTGATGTAAAAAAGCTCATGTTCCTCCTCCCAGAGCTGAGTCAAACTCATCATTGTCATTGGAGGGTGCATTCTTTCTAGTAGCAACCAAAATTTCATTGGAGAAGTAATGAAAGTATCAAAATAGTCATTTAAAGGTAAGCTCAAATTTAAGTTAGTTTCATAATTTTCAATTTCATTATTCCTACTTTGGGAGAAGTATTGGCTAAATTCCTGGAAATATTAGAAACAATATTGAAATTAACACAAAAATATGAGTAATGTTACTACAATAACTTTTTCTGTAATGATAAGCAATCAGTCACCTGATCAGAAATAATCCCAATTTGAGGACTATTTGTAAGAGTTGCTGCTCATCTGTCTGTTCAATCAGGGGACCAGGAAAGTGACTGCAGATGTCACTATCTAGGTACATCTCCTTCACAATTAATATGATGGTTTTATTGCTGAGTAAAGTATTATTATTCCTGAATTACAAATGCAGAAGCTGAAATATAAAAGAGAAAACAAAATTTGCCGCAGATCACATTACTGGCAGATAGATGGTAGACCTGAGATTGATCCTAGGTTGCCTAGCTGCAGAATCTGCACTGTTAGCTGCTGTGCTGTTAGGCTGAGCTGATCTTGTCCTGTGATAATAAAGCTAATGTGCTTATGGCAGCATGTTCTCAGGTTCTCAGAACAATGCTCATGAAGTTTCAGTTCTTAGCGAACACACTATTTTTATTTGAATCTGCAAAGTCCAAGGATATTTCTATTGGCTTTATTATTTACTTGCCTAATTACCATTAAACATACACACATATGCCATGAAATAACTATAAGAAGTACAGTTCCCTTTCAGTGCAAATTCACTATGCTCTGTAAGGTGATTTGCTGTGGTCAGAGGTATCCTATGACTTTCTGCAGTCTTCTTCTGTTGGAACAAGAGATCTATGCAATTTTTCAAATACATTTCTCCCTCCCTGTCTTTCATTCCTTAGTAGGATAAATTAGGTTTGGTTGAATCATAAACAAAGGGCTTGGCCACAAAGCATGTAGGAGGTTGAGAGAAGTAAAGAATATCATAAGCACAAAGAATGGGAGTCAGAAGTCATGAGTGAGAAAAAACTTAAAATAGAATGTCAGCCTCCTCCAGGGATCTCCAGACCACCTCAAATGATGCTGTCCAAGGAGTGTAGCTCATCCTGAAAGGCCTGGCCTGTGCATTGGCCAACTCCAGAAAGGAACCATTTAAACTATGGCCTGTGAGAATGATAACCCCTGGACTCATGCCGTCGAGAAAGCCTGTGTGGTTATAAGCAGTGGCCCTTCAGATAAGGCCTAAAGTCATATCTAAAAGGATAAGGTTTGCAGGGCAACCAGAACTCTTGGACAGATGCAGTTCCTGGCAGCAAATGAATGCCAAAGGCATGTTTCCAGCATAGTCCATTCAAGTGGACAAAGGAAATCCACAAATAGGGCCAATCTCCTGATGGAAGGGCACTAGGAGCAGTTAAGCAAGATTCAAAGTCAGCTCCCATTACATTGAGGAGATGAGATGGGTCCCAGCAGTGGGGAGAAAGTGAAGACCCATGGCTTACTGTTCATGTTTCTCCATCTTTGTTCATCCCAACCTAGGCTCTTTTCAGCCCAGTAGCATTAGTGGTGACAGAGCCTCCTGGTTAACTACCAGGTCTGCCTCCCTTGGTTCTGAAAGTGGCTTAGACAAAGCCTGTCAATGGAGATTGTTGCTCTTGGTAGGTGGGCCAGGGCCGACATAGTCAAGGGCAAGTTCTGTGATATTTGTACCAGGAGCACTGTGGCCATTTCAGGCTCCTCATAAGTGCAATCAGAAACAGCACATTCGTCCCTTCTTGCCTTTTTGCCGCCCAAATCCTGGGAAAGACCCTTTGTCATTTATCCCACCTGCCCTTTTTCTTCTGCTTCTCTCAAATCAGGAGACCAGCCCAGCACTCTACAATAATGAAATGTTTCCTTATTTTTCATACAGAACAGTACCAGACACTGTATGGTTGCTCAGGTGATTGTGAATTCATGAATATGAAAAGTCCTTTCTTGGGGACACCAGCCCAATTGTTCTCTGCTAAGAGATTTCATTTGAGAAAGACACTATCACACAATATAGATAGGTTTTAAATATCTCAACGGTTTTCAAATACCTCCCATCTTGACTTTCTGATTCTCAGATTCCCCTTCACAACACAGGGCTTTCAGTGAAGGAAAAAAAAAATTGACTATAGAGGCCTTGCCAATGTAGAAACATTTAATTTCAAAATTAAGCCATTATGATCTAAATGCATGGGAAAAATTGAATTGTGAGCTTTGCCATGCTTTTAGGTATGTTTGAATCTCAAGATTTTAAAGAATAGTTTTCTGAGCTGGTTCCTTTGCAGTCCTATCTTATAAGAGAGAAAACTACAGCTCTGGGACTTTATCAGATTTCCCACACAAGGCAAATATTTGACATGCCAGAGTTTCTGAGGGCAATAGGCCACTCCTGCAGTCTCTGTTGAATGAATGCTGATTGTCTTCTCACCTCAAAGTTTATGGCTACCCCATGGACTACTGAAAACTAGCCAATTGAGCAGGGATAATTCAACTCTATTCACTCTCACTTTAGTTCTTCAATAAATCTTTCTGTCTTCCTCTATGGAAAAAAATATATAACCAGCTGTTCCACATTTACAACTAGAAGGTTGAGTTTCTGGAAGCTGAATAATACTGCTACTCTACTTTATGATATAACTTTCTCTCTAGGCAGCAATAAGAAAATGAAGATAGAAATAATTTACCAGAAAGAGTAAAAAATTGACTTTCGTTAATGTTAATTATGATGATTAATATCATTATCCCTGGGTTTCAGGTTACCTAAGAATCAAACAAGTTGCACTTAAAATAAAACTTGAAAGAAGCAATAGAAGAAACTAAGGTTTTCAAAGATGTATTGACCTCTGTCATGTGTAACACTGATTTATAGAAAAATAATTTTAGGATTATGACTTTTGCTTCTACTGTAAGCTTTCCAGTTTCCAAAGCTAACTTGACAGAGGCAATTTATCTCCTTGACTTATTTCTTTGATTGCTATGCTTCCAGTTCAAATGGTTCCCACTAGGGAACAGTAATATCTTGAGCAGGGATTTCATGGGTCAATCATGTGTGTATCCTTCAAGAGAGGTGTGAACATGAATGGGAAGGTACCACATAACTCATCTAATAATACTATAAAGATCAAAACTGCAATCAAAACTAAAAATTGACTATCAACAGATCTCTAAATACTGTGTAAATGAAAGTGATACACAATTACATAAGATTTGCATAAGTAAAAATGCCTAGGTATAAATTAAATCCCTCTTTGACTTCAACTGTTATTAATTGCTGTTTAATGTAAACATAATAAATTACTTAATATCTTTGAACCTCAGCTTCTTTCTGTAAACTGGAAGTATCCATATTACAGGATTGTTGTGAACATTAAGTGGGAATACACACATAAAGCTCTTAGAACAGTTCCCAGCACTCCCTGCTCAACTGGGAGCCTCCTTCTGCCTCTTCCTCTGCCCCTCCCCACCCCCACACTCGTGTTCTCACTCACTCTGCTCTCTCTCTCTCAAATAAATAAATAAAAAATCTTTAAGAAAAAGAACAGTGTCCAACATATAAAAACCAGCCAATTAATGTTAGCTGTTTTTTCCTTATTCTGCTGCAAGAAAGTCTTCCTCTCACTTTGCTTTGCAAACAGCAAACATCAACCTTTTCTCAGAGCTTCCTGGTGGCATTCTTGCCACATTTCTGTGGTTCTGAGCCTCAAAATAGCATTAGCGTAAAAAGCCTCACTTGCTCCTATCTGAAGTACTAGAACTTTGGAGGATTTCGGAGAGACCCTAGTGGATGACTTCAAGCACTGTTGCTAGATCTTCCTTCTTGCTAGATCTTCTTCTGTCATGTTTCCAGAGAAATTTATTTCAGTTATATAGAATTTTATTTCAGCCTGCACTTCAGTATTAGCTCTGTATTAAGTTCTTTTTAAAAATGATTAGGCAAAAATTTCAGGACACTTAAGAGACCTGGAGATTCCGGGGGTCATTATTCAGCCCCTTTAATCCAAACAGCATTATGGCAACGTGTAAATACTCCATTTGGCCGAGAAATCCTCTTTTCTTATATTCAATAGTACTAGTTGTAATAGTGATCATGATAATGGTAACAACAATTACTAAGCACTTGCTCTGTGCCAAGTACACTTCTGTCAGAGAACTTCTTGTGACTTAACTCCTTTGTCCTCATATTAACCAGGGTGACCAATGCCTCTTGGTTTGTCCAGGACTTTCCCAGTTTTAGCATGGAGAGTCTCAAGTCCCAGCAGCCACCTCAGTTCCCAGCAAACCAGGATGGTTAGTTACCCTAAACAGCCCTTAGCATTAGGTGTTCTTATTCCCAGTTAAGTCACAGAGAGGTTATGTAGCTTTCCCAAGGACATAAAGCTCGTAAGTAGGAAAGTCTAGCTCAGAATCTGTGTTCTTAACCACCACCTTGGAGAAGGACTGGACTTTGGATGAGGGGTCAGAACAATTGGCCCTAGAATGGCTTCTGAGAGGGGCTTTTCCTCACTGTGTCAGTGCGGAAAGATTGCTTGTATTCGAGCATGCAAGATTCTCCATCACCTGAAAGTTAATGGGCAAGTCTCATTCTGTTCTTTAATAGTAACATGAAATAGTAAGCGGGTATAATTTCTGAACAGTTTTCACATAAGAAATTTGCAAGCATATATGCATCAGAGACATTAACTACATTCCACTGTGTGTGATTGGATTTCAGTCCTCATGTGCCAATATCGTTCCTTAAGCTGACTCTCTACCCTCTATCCTTTGCTGCATGACTTTTAATAAGACTTTCTGACTTTCTATTAGGACAAGATTTCTTTCTCCACCTGAGTCTTCTTATTCAGTGAACTTTTATTCTCTATCATTACTTTTCATTTATTGTGATATTACAAAATTTCACAGTATAACTCATACTTGCAGAGAAGATATACTATCATTTTGTCCAGAACTCACAAGGAGTAACTAACCACTGGCTAGTGAGAGGGGAAATTAACTGAGTCCTGTTTAAATTTAATCCCATGTGATCCTAACATTTAGAAAACAATCTCTCATTTGGTTGAAAATGTTCTTTCTCTTACCCCTTCCCATGCTTATCTCCCTAAGGTGGCATCTGGGGGTGCTCTTTCTGTGTGGTGGTGGGAAAGCACTGAGCCTGGGAGTGGAGGGCAGAGAAAGAGTATCTTCTTGCCTAGAGGATAGTGTCCTTTGTTTGTCCCAGTTTAAGTTTAAAGTGATGTAACATCATGTAGGAACTGCGCACAAGGACAGGCCCATAGTTCTACCTGGCCACTCTGACCCCATCTCAGCACCCACTGGTGCTGTGGCCTCTCCAAGGTCTGCCTTGGACAGTTCTCCCTGCAATCCACCATGCAGAGCTTTCCACCCTCACCCACATTGTAGTGATTTCCCTGAAAAGCTGTCCAGTAACAGTCTCAGCTCCTTCTTCCTCCTGTCCACTCAATAACAGAGGCAAGGGTTGCCATGAGAGCTGAACCTCAGGCCTTCTTTGCTTAGCTCCATGAGCTGTGCTTGTAACTAAGTTGGCTGCCTTATATTGGTGGTGAGTGCCACCTGGGAATGGATCTCCTTGGTAAAGGTCACCATTACCCCAAGTGCTACCATAACTTATTTAATATATTCCCTCTTCCCCAGGCTGAAGCCCAAAGATTGGGAAGTCAGAACCTGCATCTGAAGGCTTCACACTTATCTCTCTCCTTCTCTCCACAATCTCCCCTACCAGAACTGAGAAGCCTTCTCTTTTACTTCTAGGTTATGTTCTCCCTACCAACCATAAAACTGACCTAGCTGCCGTTTGCTGCATATCACCAATCTATAATGCAAGTCCTCCAGGCTCAGGGGTTGATGGATTAAAGGGAGATAAATAAATTAGAATATCCTTCATCAAGACAAAAGTTTTGCTAGCAAGGCTATTGTCATGCTACATAATCCAATTTTGGCGACGGAATTCGATTTTACCTTGATCTTTCTCTTTGTACTCCTATCATTATCTAATGTCTACCCCACAACCACTCTCACACCCATCTGACTGACAAGTATGTGGAGGTTCATGTGGATTAGGACAAAGGTTGTGAACTCAGGAAGGCATAAGAGAAAAATATTCTTAAAACTACAAATATTGGCTCCATTGCATGGTAATCCTTATTTAATCAATATCTACTTTTTCATTGTGTATGATCTTTTTCTTTTTAAATTATGTAGGTACACATGAATATAAACCCACGAGGAGACAGTTAAAATAATAGAAGCATATGGAATAAAAAGTGTATGTTCCCTATGCCCAATCCCACTTCTCAACCTAGAATAATCACTATCAATGATTGATGTATGGCCTTATAGATCTTTCTCCCATGCATTTATATCAATATATATGTTCATATATGAATATATAATTTTGCCTTTTTTTCCCCAAAACCAGGGTCAAAGAATGGGACTTTGTACACCTATGGTTTGTACATTTCTGATTGTGCATTTATCAAATTTCCCTTTGCTTCTCTGAATTTTATTTGTATTAATAAAGCAATCACTTGCAAAATAACTTTATTTCATTTTTTGGATGATTCCAAATAAAAGTTCTGTCATGCTTGTTTGGCAACTGGCTAGAATTTTTGCCTTGAGCAAGAAAATGAGCCTTGTACTTTGGCTCTGGGTGGGGATGTCACACACATGTGCATGTGTTATGGCCAGTGGCCAGCCAGCTGCTGAGAAGAGACTATGTATTTCTCAACCAATAAAGTTGTAAGTAGAACTTAGTGAAAATGAGACACAGTCTCCTTTCCCATCACTTTCCTGCCCTAGATTCTTCATCAACTGAGAAATTTGATAATTTTTCCTTAAGCATACATCAGTTCAACAACTCACACTTCTGAGCACCTGCTGCAGAACAAAGCCCTGGAAATACCACAATGATTAAAGCAATGTCTACTCTGAAAGAATTATTATTAAAGCAATGTCTACTCATTTCAAAGTCATTTCAGAAATTCATCTTTGTTTTTCAGAGTCTATTTTTTAATTATTTATATAATAAAATATATATATTGTATGACATATAATGTCATACAATATATATAATAATATAATTTATTATTACCTTGGAATATCTTTTCTTCTATTTCCTACATCAAAGTTATAAAATAGTGGTTATCCTGTTCAAAACATGTAAATTTTAATTTGGGAGTGATAGTACAATTTTAGTCTAAAATAAATATATGTATTTACAAATCATATGGAATTAAAGTTTAATAAGTGGTCCATACAGGTTGTTAAGCCTTCTTCCATTTTTTTCAAACAAAAGCAAAATTATTTTATTTTATTTTTTAAAGATTTTATTTATTTATTTTAGAGAGAGAGTGAGGGAGCGCACAAGCAGGGGGAGGGTCAGAGGGAGAATGAGAGAATCTCAAGCAGAATCCCCCCTGAGTGCGGAGCCCCACATGGGGCTCAGTCTCCCAACCCTGAGTTCATAACCCTGAGCTCATGACCTGAACTGAAATCAAGTCAGACCCTTAACCGACTGAGCCACCCAGGCACCCCAAAAGCAAAAGTAATTTAAAGTAATAAGCATATTCTACATTTTTTTGCAAAATTTTAATTTATGGTGGACTTCAAAAACATGCATTATTTTACCTGCTTTGGAAAAGCTCCCATGAGACAAATTACCAATTTCATTTCCTCCTACTTTTTTTCTAATTTAGGATATTTACACAGTGAAATGACAGCTTTATTTATTAATTCTGATTTAGTATTTTGAATTTCATGTCTTTGAAATACATCAGAGGAGAATTATATGGGAGATAGAAGAAATGGCATCATTGGTTCCTGTCTGTCTAGTATCAGGTAGGAGGAGGAAATCTCTCACAGACCCTGTTGCCATCTGCCCTGCATTGAGTACTGAGAGCAAGTCCTGACAGCCCTGGGCAAACATCCAACCTTAATTTGGGAAGTCATCACAGATACCTTCATGGGCTTCTGTAGCCCTTCACTGAATCATAGAATTTCAGAGCTAAAACGTACATTCTAGTATGGTGGTTCCCCAAAAATTAATCAGAGAATTACCATGTGACCTTGCAATCCCACTTCCGGGTATGTACTCAAAAGAATTGAAATCAGGGTCTAAAAGAGATATTTGTACACCCATGTTCATAGCAGCACTATTCACAATAGCCAAAAAGTGGAAACAATCCAATTGCCCATCAGTGGATGAATGGATAAACAAAATGTGGTATATACATACAATGAAAATTATTCAGCCTTGAAGAGGAATGAAATTCTGATATAACCTAGAACATAAATGAACCTTGAAGACATTATGCTAAATGAAATAAGCCAGACACAAAAGGATAAATATTGTGTGAATCTACATGAGATACCTACAGTAGTCAAATCCATAAAGACATAAAGTAGAATGGTGGTTGCCAGGGCCTGGGGGGAAAGGGAAATGGGGAGTGTCAGTTGGGGAAGATGGAAAAGTTCTGGAGATGGATAGTGGTGATGATTGTACAACAATATGAATGTACTTATTGCCATTGAACTGTATAGCTAAAAAATGGTTAAAATGGTCCATTTCATGTTATATATATTTTACCACAATAAAAGAAGCTTTACCTTCATAGAGCTTACAATCTAGGAGAGAGAAAGATAATAAGCAAATAAAAATGTAAAATTTAAAAAGTACTTTCTGGATCAGCTTTTGGTTGGCCCCCGTTTTACAGATAAGAAGCCAGAGGACAGAGAGAAAAGATAATAGGAGGCTACCCACTAAGACCCTGGTGGTCTGACTTCTAGGCCAATGATCTTTCCATTGAACCATACTTCCTTTTTGAGGTACTTCTATTACTTCTGTTTTATCTGCACCATTCAATAATATAGTGGAAAGAGAAGGGCTTTGGAACCTGGGTTCAAATTTCAGCTCAATTGCTTCCTGGAAGTTTTTTTTTTTTTTTTTTAAAGATTTTATTTATTTATTTGACAGAGAGAGAGATAGCGAGAGCAGGAACACAAGCAGGGGGAATGGGAGAGGGAG